TGAGACAGAGAGAGTGAGAGAGAGAAAGAGACTGAGTATGATTCTACGTGTGCACATGGGCGATACGGAGGACCTGCTGCCTGTCCCGCTGAGCTTCCAATTAGCACACACCACTAGAGCAGGACACATACACACAGAGACACACAAACACACACGGAGGACCCTAGAGAGAGGCCTCAAACCTGCCTGTCAGCTGCTGTTAGATCACACTGCACTTAGCTGACACAACAAAACACACAAACACCTACACACTTATATGCAAAGTTTTACAGTGATTAACATTCAAGGATAAAACCTGCGTTCATATTCAGTTAAAGTTGAGGGCGCACTGAACTGCTGCTGATCTGGTTGCTCGTGAGAATATTAAAAGTTACGAATGTGTTCATAAAGAACAGGAAAAGTATTTAATTTAAATTTGCTTCAAGTTCTCTCGAATCCTTCTATCTAATGTATGCGAACACACACACACTAACACAATATTATCACACAAAAACCTTCGCTGCACCACCTATTTTGTCCTTGTACATATTTTAATGATGCCATCAATAATGGACACGTTCTGAGGACAGGCAAAATAGGATCTTGCAGCGTTGCCACACACGTATTCAGATGTGCATATGCTCAAAAAATGTGGGTCAGGCTGTGAGATTTCTTAATCTTTAATTAAGAATATCTGCTGGTTTGTCAGTGAGCCCATTAGTGTGCCCTTTGCTGGTGAGCCTCCCTCTCTACAATTTGCTCAGCCTTCTACTACCGAACTGTTTTCAGAATAACAAGCCTGCGCTAGATCAAATAAAAGAGTGCTTCCTTTTATTGGTTTGTATATATATATATTTTTTTTTTTACTAGATTGGATTAGTAGCCTGCCTGGTATTCGTTTAGAATAATTTTAGCACAGATGCTTAAGTGTGCGTGAAACCTAATTCTAATGGTCTTCGACATTTTGATGATATGATATTGACATACGGGAAACTACATATAATAAAATCACATCATGTGTGATAAATTCAGTGACGCTGAACTGATTGCTGTTGAAAAGTCTTCCGATTCTGCTCCAGCAGAGTCATTAGAAAGCATCAGCCAAAGAGGCCTCTGGTAAGGACTGGGAGATGGGATAAATTTAATCTCACTGCACAAGAACACTTCAGCAACTTGACATGAAGCATAGAGATGACAAAGGTCATTATGAATGGCAAAAAATAACAGATTGTGTCCCACTCCTAGGTCCTTCCCAAGTCTGACATCACCATCTTAGTACAACCACTCATCAAGGTCACGAGTCTTTTTATGCAGCCCACACCACCTCCAGTTCTCGCCTTGAACTTTGCATCTTAAGAGCATCTTTCATTAAAGCCAAAACAAATCTACCTTGGTGCGTTCCCTCGGGTGTGATTGACGTGACACCACAAGCTCAGGGCCAAGCAGAAATGAAGACTGAGAAAGAGCTCGGGCAGATGATGAGGACGAGGATGAACTGAACGCAGACACAGAGGTGGTGGCCTTCTTCCTGCCTGCTCAGGGAGAAGATTGTCCTTGCTTTGTTAAATGATTTCTTCCAGCTGAACTCTTCCCCCAATATCAGTCAAAAAGAGATCACACAGAGAAAACAAAGATTGCATGTATACCCAGAGTTCCCCGGGTCACCTTGGCATACAGCTCACGCAGTAAATCAATCCATTTATTGCCATTTCAATAACCATTCAGGCTATTTTTGTCACTAGATGCCGTTCACTGTCCAAGTTACAGTCAGAAACTCACAAAGTATTCTTTATATTTTCCAAGATGTGCACATTTTATAACTGTATTTAAATGTAAAAATGAGCTGGTTTGGAAGCCAGTTCAGTTTGATTGAGCTAATCAACACAAATACAGATGCAATTTAAAAATGACTCACTTGTGTAAGGAAAAAATACATTTTAATGCTGTCCATAAATATTTTGGTGGGCAGGATGATGTGCAGACATACCCTAGAGTAAGTTTCTTTAATTCATGCCCACCTGCCTCTCCTGGCATTTAGGACAAGAAACTGATTGAGCATTCAACCTTTTAAAAGATTTTGAGACCATCAATTTTATATCACAACCCAAACGTGCCTTTTCGACCCCTTCGTGCATGTATTCGCTAGCCTTACCTCTTTTTCCCACTAGATGGAGGTGTGATACTTCCACAACACTCCTTCATCCATGACGCAGCACAGAAAGTAAACTCACCCAGAGGTCTAATTTACAAACTCAGGTCAACTTCTGTAGAGGTAAATACTGAAGATTCTGTATTGTGAGGATTTTTAGGTCAGTATAGCTTGATGTTTGCAATATTTTAATTTATGACCTGGGAGATCTCATGCGTTAAAGACTGAGCAGCTATAGCACAGTGAAATGGCATTAACGCCATGCTCAGAGGCAAATCAAAAGCTTGTTCTACAGGAACATTAAGCCACAGATTTACTACCCTGCACAGGTTTAACCTGCCAGTCTGGAACTGAAGCAGAAACTTCAAAATCAACTGGAGAAAGACACAACGACCATGTTTTCCACAACAGAGTAAATTGAACACTTAAATATGATCCATTTACATATTGCTGACATTTAACTAATTTGTTCCCTTTCTTTCTTTCTTTCTTTCTTTCTTTCTTTCTTTCTTTCTTTCTTTCTTTCTTTCTTTCTTTCTTTCTTAAATAAGGCTGATTCAAAATGTCACTTGCTGATTAATGGCAACATATGGCTGCAGCACATGCCCTCTAACACTACTATATAAGCTATGAATGGACATGTTCCTGTGATACACTAAAACCTGTGGATGTGTCCAAGCATGTGTCTGCTACTGGACGTTATCGGCATGTGATCAAAATAGTTTCTGTGTGTATCTTTCCCGTGCATGTGTGAGATACTTTCACAGTATGACATATGCTTGAAAAACACATATGTCAGCAAGTGCTGGCATATGCGAATGACATATGAACACTGTTTTCACTACACGGGCATGCGTGTGTGAATTTATACATTGAGGGTAAGCCTGTGTGTGGTAGTAGTAATCCGCACCAGGCAGCTGCGCTCGTTCGTATTCAGCCCCAAGGCACTTCTAGGCCTACTTGCTGATTAGAGATCAGAGAGAGAGAGAAAGAGGACAGAGTGAAATGGTATAGAGCGGGGATGAGAGACAAAGAGAAAGAAAAAGGTCCTCTCTCATTTAGTAAAGAGTTTGTTAATGTCTATAATCCCATTAAGCAGGGGGAACAGCTTGACCCCTCACATAACATGCATTAATATGTATGGGCGAGTGTGTGGTTGCAGTGTATATTCTTTTTCTCTCATACAAACAACCCCAGACACTTGATACAGCGCATCCAGGAAAAGAAATTGATTGCCCTTATAAACAATTGATAAGGCCCTAATGTAACATTGCAAGCTGTTAAGGAGAATTGGAGCGGCGAGTCATGAAAATGACATGTAAATCAAATGAGCGTTGTATATTTTCAGGCACAATTTGCCAGCAATTATTGTGTTGACCTGGCTCCTCGGTTGACAAAAGAAACCTGTTCCCTCTGAGGAGCAGGAAATCAGCTTTTCAAGTGCTCTTGTGTTTGAAGAGTGGTGAGCAAGGCAAGGCGTGATTGCTGCACTCTGCAGAGAGGATCGCACATGGGGTGATTTCATACAAGGTGAGAGAAAGCAGTGAAGGCCAAAGCTAGTTGTTTTCTTTTCCTTCACAATATACATGCAAGCAGCACTTAACTCAATGTTATCTCAGCTAACTCACACTGAATCGATCCATGCTGAAAAAAATATGATAAAGAAGAAGATTCAGTATTAAAAAAAGAAAAGAAGACCCTCCAGCTTGTGGCCTCCTTCAACCTAAAGCTCCGATGGATGGATGGATGGATGGATGGATGGATGGATGATATGTGCAAAATTTAACCTGAATTCCAAAATGTTGGTTTGCTGTGTAAAATCTAAATAAAAAACAACATACAATAATTTGTGAACCTCAAATGTTATTCACAACAGAATCGTATCACAATAGAAAAAGTATTAAATTTCTAAGCTGAGAAAATGTGCCATTCTAAGAAAGACATGAACTCATTTTGAATTTGGTAGTAACATGTCTCAAAAAAGTTGGGGCAAGGCTATGTTTACTACTGTGTAGCTGTGGTAAACATGGGCTTCTGTTAACAGCAGACTGTAAACATCTGGGAACTAAAAGGAGAGGAATGTTGTCCCATTCTGGTCTCATATAGGACTAGTAGTCATGAGTCTTCTTCATCATATTTGAGGGTGGGGGTGGGGGGCTTTTTAAGTGAGCACTAATAAAAAGCCAGAAGGTTCCTTTCCTCTTTAGTCTGGAGGATGTGTCCATGTTTTCCAAAAAATAATTTAAATTTTGATTTGTCTGACCACAGAACACTTTTCCATTGCGCCTCAGTACATTTGAATGTCACTTGATCTGGAGAAAATGCCAGGATTGCAGGATCATGGTCACCCATGGCTTCTTCTTTGCTTGATAGATGGCAAGATGAACTGCATTCAATGACCTTGATTGGAGGAAGTGTTACTGAGCCCCATGCTGTGATTTCCATGCTTGTTCTTAATGCACTGATGCCTGACTGCCTGAAGAACATGAACATCTAATATTGATTTTTAGTCTTGTCCCTTTTATATTGAGGGACATTATTCAGAAATTCTCTAAAAATTTATACACTCAGTTTTTTGCAGACTTGTTATCCTCTGACCATCTTGACTTCTTAGAAATTCTGCCTCTTTGTGATGCTCGTTTTTGAGATGTCCAATTTTAAAAAACAGATATTACTGGTATTACTTGTGATTGCTTACACGTGTTCCCACTTAACGTAAATAGTTGCAAAATGTTTCTTCAGTTTCTCCACTTAGTTTTCCAGCCTTTTTTTCCTGCCACCTCCTGCCACCATCCCAACTTTTTTGAGATTCGTTGCTTCCATCTAATTCAAAACATGCCAATGTTTTCCATGAAATCAAAAAAGTATATCAGTTTAAACATTTGGTGCGGTTTATGTGTTCTATTGTGAATAAAATGTGGAGTTATGAGATTTGAAAATCACTTAATTTTGTTTTTATTTACATTTTACATGTCATTCGAAGCTTTTTTGGAATTGGGTTTGTATTTACATATAAGCAGCAGGATAGCTAACATCTTATGCACTGTATAATGCACTGTATATTAGATGTGATATAACACAGGATTTGCCAATAAGGCTGCAAATCCAAACTGAATTGGCTGGTTAAAACTAATTAATTGACTGCATTATTTTTACACAACCAGAATCAAATGAAATGAAATGACATGAAATAATAAGCTTAAAAACATTAAATAATGTTGAATCAAGAAAACATTAAATAATAATAAAGTTACTCTATTTGGATTGTGTTGAAAAAAATTGCTACAAATCTTATGAACAATTATTTCACATAATAAACAGACCTCGTATCACTCTTGGATAGATTAAGGTTCTGTTTAAGCACAAATTTTCTTTAACTAATTTGTTTTATAAGATAAGATTACATTGTTTGGAAACATGTTGTTTGTCTTCTTTTTTGAGGAAGACTAGTGATGGTATACCTGTTCTGAGTTTATGAGTAACGCAGTACAGAGTACCTTAAAGAAAAAACAGCTTTCCTTACATGCATATTTTAAACTTGCTCCAAAATTTTGCATAAACTACAGGAAGAACTTTTGCTGCTAGTGGGAAATCTCTGACATACTCACTAAATTGTCATATACATTATTGATGGGATACTTTAAGTGTTCCCAATAACTTAAAAGTGCACAGAGAGACACAAAGGCACCAACGTGATGACGTCATGTTGAGCACAGTATATACTGCAAAAGAGAGGAAGGAGTGTTTATGTTTACATTTGAAAATGAATGTTAAATTCACCTCCACATTAAATACGAACAAATTACTTTAATTGCAGGTCATCATAAAAGCACCACTGCCTCAACAATACCTTCTGAGTGCAACTCAGCAATTTATTTAAATTAATAAGACCCTCCACAGCCAACATGCCCGTTTGGGCTCATAGAGCTGGGCCCAATGGGCTGAGGCTCGTCAACAAGCAAGCTCTAAAACACATCCAGCCATCACAGGCACGATAAACTAGTCGCTTGAATCACTGGGCGTGATAATGGATGGAATTTTGTTTCAACAAATAAAGTTCAACTTATTATTTAATTAGGCTGAAAGTTAATCTTCACTCTTTATTATCTCTAATGCATATAGACCTGTATTATAGCATATTAATATATATTAACAACTCTCACTCTATCATTTATTTTAGTTGAAGAGAAGCTTCATATGTGAATATAGTTATTTACACAGCATGTAAATAAAGTTGGAGCAACATCTACAAACTGACAGTCATTTGTTTATGACTGATTCATTTAAAAATATTTTATAGATGAATTATAAGTAATTACTCTGTGTTAGTCCTGCCACACACTGTCCAGGGTGTACACTGTATGACAGCAGGATTAGGCTCCAGCCCCATTCTGCAACCCTGAATTGGATACGCAGAATAACATGGGTGGATTTAATTTAGTAGTAACAGCTTTTTGGTTGCCATATTGTTGAAATTCCTTCTCTGTCATGACACTTTGCTCACTGTTTGTTATTGGGAAATAAACTTAACTTACTTAAGAAAAAAAAATATTATAATGTCTATGATTATATCTAGCTTATTAAAATTAATAACCATGGCTTGATGAATTGATTGCCTTTAATGTTTTCAGAACATTAGGTCTAGAAGCTGAAGCAGTCGCTGCTGACCGACATCGATGGAGATCACTAGCTGCCCGATGCGCCGCCCGGCGTAGGAGGAACTAAGTGCTAAGTAAGTAAGGTCTAGAGGTAACTGATGTTTGATGATGGAAATTTCTTACTAATATTTACTTAATGGCTTGGAGGAATCGTCAGTCTGAAGATTGATGATCATTTTTTACATGGAAGATAATTTGAAGATAGTTTTTACGACTTAGCAACCCAAAAAGTTGTTGTGATATTAATTTGGAGTGGATTTAAAAAACGTTCACTATGTGATCCATAGCACAGTGGGTAACAAATGACTGAATTTACTACTTAGAATGTAAATTTCCATTGTCTATGTAACCATTTTGCCTCACACATTAGAGTTTCGGTTATAAAAGACAACCTTCAGTCCATTTCTTCCTAGATTTCCTCAAGGTGCAATTAACAATGTCTCACTTGGCCACAATATTAAAGCCACATGTCTAATGCCATGAAGATGTCCTGTATGTTGACAAAAGAGTTTGGATCAGTTGGGGTATGGACACCAGATCCCATGGTTGTTCTGTTTGGCAACTGGATATTTAGATCCTTTACTTCTTGTTCATTGCGAGGAGAAGCCTCCATAGACTTGCAATCTTGGTAGTTTGTATGCAGGTCAGAACCTAGTGCTTTTTGCAGGGTCCTGCTAGGGGTAGGCACAGCCTTTGGGGAGTGCCATGTGTTGCTTGACCTGTGGCTGTGATTAGGTAATTGGTAACACTGATACTTTCCATAGCTCAGTCCCATGAATATTGTAGCTAAAGGAGTAATTCTCTTTACTCCATTTGTCCTTGGCTTTAATATTGTGGGGGTGATCAGTACTAAGTATTACAGGGCAATGGAACTGGCAACAACTAAATGGGGTGTTGCACCGTTTTTATCAATTACTTCCGAACTGTGCTATTTATGGCACGCAGGCACCTCTCTTCTGAAAACAGCATATGATCTGAGGAGAAATTATAAATCTCATAATCTCACCAAAGGCAAATAAAAGCTGGATTTTCACAGTTTATGTTTTTAGAGAAACAAATTGACTGGTACATTAGCTGACCAATCGTATCTCAGCTTCGAATCAGTTTTTATCCAATCACAGAAGAGAGCGATAGTCTTGCCCCTCCCAAAAACTGGATGCTGAAAAAGAACGTCATCTACCTTTTTACGTTTAGCTTTAGCAAAAATTAGCTAGGTGTTCAATCATAGATAAATCCTGCCGAACCAAGCGTATTTTCTTTTGAACCGACAGCCTAAGTAAGAGCGATATATTTGGCGCTCCCTGGTATTACAGTGCCAAACATGTATGTAAAAGCCTTACGTCGATGCAGAGATATGTTGAAAGGAGAACTGGTCGTGTGAAATGCTGACTAGCTTACTCAAAGCTAACTGACGAACAGGGGCCGAGAAGCGAAAGTGGCTAATATTAAGGACTGCTAAGCCTATCACAACAACGCTGGGTGTCTTAGCATTTCTACCGTGATCACGAGAAGAGGGGCTGATAGAGGGAGACTGAGAGTGAGAGATTCCTTTCATACGCAGTAAGTAACACTTGGTACTCGGAATGAGCAACGAATCTACACTGGCTAGCGACCCGCTAACGTGTAACGTTAGGCAAACAGTTTGACAACTGTGAACTTCGCTAGCTGGTTAGCTAGTGAAGTTAGCTAACCAGAGTGGCCTCTGTTTTAGGTAACGAGAATCGAGAATTGGCTTGATTTTACTTCAGGATCTCAAAGTACCGTTATTTATATGTCTTTATTGGGACAGGGAGTACGATATTGTCGTTGACGCCGGTGTAGCCACACTTACTAACACGCCCGAGCTCCATTCAGGTGATTTTCACATTAATTGGAGCGTTTCACGCACTTGTCAATATTCAAATGGGTTATCAGCATCGCTCTGCTGGCGGATTAATGATTATCATTCCAACGTTTGGGTCTATCCATGTGATCCGAGAAGGTTTGGTTTGTCTTTATTTGCTTGTGGCATGTGTCGACAGTTTTTCTCCACTAAAATTATTTTTAATCTGATTCATGAATATTTGCAACAGGTGCGATTTACGTGGAACTAGTTTTAATGTGTAGCTTATTCTGGTTACTGCTTAGCATAAAGCTAGCTTTTGTTTTAAACGTCAACATATTGTTTACTAACAATGTACGTAGTAGAGTCTAGGTTTATTTAAAGCTTCTATTCCCATTTGCTCCCATGAAGCTCCAGTACAGGGATTAACTTGTTTTATTGCCTTGTTGTGGGTACTTTTATTGGGTTGTTGGTGTGTGTGTGGCAGTGTGTTTGTGTGACGGTGTATTCCAGAAATGGCAGCAGCATCAGTGGCATGTTTGTGTTGGCACCTTGATGTGAAATCCTGCAATAGCCATGCTCTTTTAGCCTATGACTGCACTGGGTGCATGGGCTTGTCCAAAGGCCTTTATCTATACCCATGTGGTTACGTTAGTGTGAACTGAAAGGGTTCACACGCAGATGCATGCTCAGATGTAGTGGCAAGCCTTGAATAACTGAGAGATTAATTTGTGTTTCTGCTTATGTCTCAGAACAGGGTGATAGTATTGGTTAAGATTCTTGAATCAGCTTGTGGGGTTATGTAAATGCTGTGCACGTGTTTTTATAATGTATCCCAAAGGAACTGAAAGTGGTTTTAGTGCATGCTTAAGTACTCCTATGTTTAAAGTCCCTCATCATTTTGCCACTTCTGAGAGTTGAGAAATGATGAGAAAACAGAGGTACACAGTGCAATGCAAAAGTATTTGCTCCCTGTCTGATTTCTTAATTTTTTTAACCCATTTTTCACATTTACATGTTTCAGATCATGAGACAAATTTTAATATTAGACAAAGCTAACCTGAGGAAATATATAATGTTGAATCAAGAAACCACTTAAATAGAACCTGTCTGACAAAGTGAAGTAGGCTAAAAGAGCTCAAAAGGCAACACATCATGGTACGATCTAAAGAAACTCAAGAACAGCAGAAAAACAAAGTCACTGGCATCTGTCAGTCTGGAAAGTGCTTCGAAGCCCTTTCTAAAACTTTGGGAACCTAGCAGATGTTCCCAAACATCTGCTAGGTGTTTGGGAACACCTAGCAGATGTGTTCACAAATGGAGAAAACTTTAAACAGTGGTGAAGATTCTCAGGGGCTTTCGACCAAAATTACTCCAAGTGCACATCAGTTACTCATCAAGGAGGTCACAAAATAACCCAGAACAGAATTGCAGCACACTCTGTAAAGTCAGAGATCATGATTCAACAATAAGCAAGCGACTTCTGTGGTGGTTTGTTGCTTCAGGATTTGGACAATGATCCAAAACACACCAGCAAGTCCACCTCTGAACGTCTCAAAAAAACCAAAGAGAAAATATAGGTTTTGATGTCGCCTAGCCAAAGCCCAGACTTGAATCCCTCTGGTGTCGCTGAATTAAAACAATTCTGCAAAGAAGAGTGGGACAAAATTCCTCCACAGAAAAAGCCTCATTGCCAGTTATTGCTGCCAATGCTGGCACAACCAGCTAATAGGTTTAGGGGGCAATTACTTTCACACATAGGGTCAGGTAGGTCTCAGTATTTTTTTTCCTTAATAAATTGAATCATCATTGTATTTAACCAGGTTATCTTTGTCTAATATTATAAGTTTGATGATCTGAAACGTGTTACAAAAATGGAAGAAAAAAAAAATCAGGAAAGGGGGGGGGGCACTTTTTCACAGCACAGTATATTGCAGAGAAAGCACCTGCAGTCCAGTATGACATGACACGTGTACTTTCAATCTCTTTGGTCTGGACAGACATCCCCATCATCTGCTCAAAGGACACTTGTTCCAGGAAATTGACAGCTTCAAAGATGAGTCAGCAAAGAGAGGGGGGATCTGTTTGTTTCACTTGTCAAATTTGTTTAAAAAAAAAATAAAAATCAGAAACTTTTTTTGAGGTAAAGTTGTTTTAATCTTTTTAATCATAACTGAGAACAGTGTGTTATACCAGCTGTTCACTGCCTTCTTTATAAAATCATCAAATGTGGATGTGGCTAAGGGGTACTAGCAAAAAGATGATTCATGGCTAAAAGTCAATATAAGCACATTAGTAGAAACTGAGCATTTACATGCCTGTATGTTGTGGATTTTCTCTTCAGAGATGGACTCAATTGTAGAGTTAAGCTATAACAGTCACAGCTCAGTTTGTTTTGGGTTTTGTTTTGTTTTTTATAAATATTGACTAGCTGCATGTGTTTTTTATTTTTATTTTATAATTTGTTTTTGGTATTGTGATCTAAGGTGGTCATAGCTTTCTTAGTTAAACTATGATGCCTTAAGCTTCAACTATTTGCCATTGCCATCTTGATATTTTGGTAAATCTGACAGTGACAGACATTTAACAACTTATCAGTCACAAGTTGTTGGCATATGCCGAATAATCGTCCTTTCCAAACATGAGCATAATTTGCAAAAGTTCAATTCATGATGTCCTGGAACTACTGTCAGTCTTCAGAATGGATTTTACTTAGTTCATACAACAGCAGAGCTGTTGGGCTCTGCTATGGGGTTATAGCAAATCTCTCCAGGTAGAGGATAGGAATATAAATCTGAACACAAATAAGATTTAAAAAGAAAAGTGAATACTTTGGGAAAGAAATATGACCAATGGTTACTTTTGAGGTGGTAATGCAGCCATGTCAGTTCATAAGAATAAATCAACAGCACTAAGGTGTTTCCTTTATTGAGTTAGCTTTGAAGTTGATGACTTCCATGCTTCCTTTAAATATGTTGCATTACAGTATAGTTGTTGGGTTAACTTTTTGTTTCCTAACTCCACTACTTTAGTTGTGTCCAACTAAAGAAAGGGTGCAGCAGTGGTATATTGTCATGGGCTAATATCCCATTCAGGCTTTTACTTTTTACCTTAATTTCCCCTTAATCAGCTCCTCAGCATGGTACAGCACCTCTACAGCAAGCTACACTGCTACCATGCTGCATTTCCTATCAGTCTAATATTATCATCATGTCTTTTTCCCCACACAAAACAACAGTACAGTAGTTTAGTAAGGTGATGCTGACTTCTAAGGGTAGATTGGCCATTATATCACACACTGTACCTTTCATGTCATCGAGTCAGGAGAGAGAGCTGTAAGACATTAGTAATAGTTCACTGTGTTAAGCCTGTGGTCTGCATTTGACGAGCTAATCTCACCCTGCGTGGATCCTATCAGCAGCTGACTGTTAAATTGAGTTAACTTGTTAAAGCTGTCCTGAAGCTGAGAGTGGTGGTTTTTCTGGGGCGCCTCAAACAGAAACCAGTGGGGAAAAACATTTTGGCCTAGTAAATCATAGCAAATCCCGCCTCTGCTTTTTTGTCACCTTCATAGACTACATGAATGTTCAGACATACATACATGTGGTAGTTCATGTGCAGTCACGTCTGGCCACTACCACTGTTGCTATGACAACCACTCAGCTGCCACTCCAAGCTGGGTAGCCATGGAGACATCAGACTTTGGGTGACATCATTCTGTGGTGTACAAATTACCTATGCTGGTATTTATTTTTAATGAACACCAGTGGCCTGGGGAATTGGCAACTGCCAAAGATTTAGGCTTTTAACCAAACGGCAATTATCAGGACTGTAATAAAATATTTTTAATGAATTAAAAAAAATTGTTTTAAGTGGTTCAAACTTGAATGTGTATCATATGCCAAAAAATAGACTTTTTTGGCATATGATACACATTCAAGTTTGAATACAGACTCTGCTTTACCTGTGTAAGCAGTCAAATGTTAAAGGCCCACTTTGAGCCAGGTATGGTACACGTGATGTGTATGTAGTTGCAGCATAGGTGAGAGCAAATAATGTTATTTGGTGATTGTGGAAATTGCTTTGATATCTGCTCAGTGTTGTGTGTGACCGCATTTGTCGTCAAGGTAATAATTCAAGTGTTCTGGACTACTGATGCTTTTCCTCCCTTTGATATGTGATCAGTGACCAAGTGTGTTTGTCTGTCATGCACCTGTTGAATATCATCTAAATTTTGGAAGTCACATCAAACGCTTTGATAACAAACCATTGGCAAGGTAAAGAGGGAGGAACTTGGATAAGCATTATTTATTTCTTAAAGATCAGAAGATTAAAAAAAGAATTCTTTTAAAAAAGGATTCTTTATAAAAATTAAAAACAGATTAGACTCCTTTCAATCATTATAGAAAGCAGAAGTTTGAAGGAAAAGTATTTTCTTAATTTCAAAAGTTTATCCCCTGGTTACATCATACATAATTTAAAAAACCCAAACCCTTGATCATTACAAAGAAGGGATCTTGTGGTTGTTTTACTCTGGGGTGTACTTTGCTGGCTTCTTATGGGTATGCTTTAGGGTTGGTCGATTGGACGAATACATGCGCGAATACATCACCCATCGGCGGAAATTTTGCAAACACTGCCATATATATCTTGCCAACTAATTTCACCTTGTATCAGCCAGCAGCCACTTGCAGTTGGTTGGGGAATATGTGTTTTTGAGATGTTACAGGCAAATTTCTAGGACAGTAGGACTGGAGCTTTAGCTATAAAAATGAAATGAGATGCACCTGCCAGTGCACAGCTCAAACTGTTACTTGATTGTAGTGCTGTCACAATTGCTCAAAAATCACATTTGCTTATTATTCATTCATTATTTCCAAAACAATTCCCAAAGAACCAAACTATTTGACTGTGCGCTACTTTGACACACAGTAGGGCTGTTCAATTAATCAAATGTTAATTTCAAGTACAGTTTTGGCTTCCAGCAGTTAAACAGCATAATATAGATAAAGTGTGATGTGTGAGTGAGGTGCATGCTGTCTGGCAGTGTAGCGTGATATTAGTTGTCTTTGAAGCCTTTCTGTTCTTTTAGTTAGGTGGGGGAAAGATGAGTACACAAGGCGGTCTAAATGCTTCATATGTAGATGAGGGTGACTCACTCACTGAGTCCCCTTCATCTATGTCTAGTTAGCATTCATACGTGTCATTTTGTTGATGAAATCTGTGTTTTTTAGATTTGACTTTAAATCATAAGTTAATAGCAAATAGCGGGCACTTATCTATTTTTATTTTTTGAGAGGAACCTTTTAGCTCTGTCCACATGTACATTAACAGACACCATCCTTTGAGTATGCCTGCAACTTACTTGTAAGTAGCACTTATTGATATTTTCAGATATAAGGTATGGGTTATTGTGCAATTTCCGTGGCTAAGATTCCATTAAGCAGTGTGACAATCAATAAGACTGTAAAAGTTAATGTTCTCTCATTGCATAACCAATAAACAGACTGGATAGAGAATTTCTCTCTGCTATCCAGCAGCGTAATGCTGCTGTGCATTTAGCTAATGCAGGTGCAGTTATTGATAGATAACGCATCCTCTTGAACACTCTGTGAAGTTTGTTAATGCTTTTTGAAGGCAGTTCTGGCTACCCAGAGAAGCTTTTAAACTTTCTTCTGTCTCTTTAAGGATAAATTTAAGTAGCTGCTATTTGTGGATGTGGTGTGCAGTGATCACCAATAAGAAATAAGAAACAGTTGATATGTTCCTTAAGCCTTACATACAAAGTTTAAGAAACACAGGAAGAAAATTTCCAGCAACTCAAAAGTTAAATATTCTCCTTAAATATCTGTGGGGATATTTGTAGTCTTTGTGTTTTCAGAATATGCCAAAGCCATGTGAGATTTGTAAGCTGTTTATTTTGGCTAAATAACTTTTTTTCATATCACCCAGAACTAGTTAGAAGAGGAGATGATGGCTGTAAAGCAGTCAAAGATGGATAGATACCAAAGAAATGGTAACATTTCAAAATCATGAATATATTGCAAGAGAACACTATTTGTCCTCTCCTAGTTATATTATGCAAATCTTTATATATTCCTTCACGATTTCTACAACCTTTTCTAATATCATTAGTAATCATGAAGATTGAAACTTTAATATTGTCCAGTTAGTTTTTCTCAAAAATTAATGGTTGGTATGACTGGCAGTTATCCGTTAAGGTCTTTCTAATACAAATCTCTCATGGATGGTTTGGAATGAGTCCGTCTGTATTTATCATGTATTGAGTAGAGCAGGGCTATATGACCAAAAATAATTATCACGATATACATTTGAAAATTTGCGATAACGATATAACTGTCGATATAATTGACACTAGACAAAATACTTTACAACTCCACAACTTTATTAGCGCAAAAAAACCCAACAATGTATTTTCACTTAAACAAGCAGCTGTTTTTTATGTGCATTAAAGTTCTATAAAAATTTAACAGTGCAAATGCAAATTCCTTGCTGACAGTTTAACCAAAAGGCATTTCCAGTGGAAATTGGCCGACATATCCTCAGCATAACCATGTATAATATCCACAAAACTTAAAAAGAGGTTAT